AGGAGTCTTGACATCCATCAACCACATTCCAGGCCCAGACCCCTCAGGAAATACCATCAAACTACCATCTAGACCAGCCCAAGAAATAACYCCTGTCAAGAGGAATCTATCATTTCTGTCATCATGGACAGACACYAATGTTGATTGTCTGCAGAGCACATTTACCCGATCYAACTTATCACAAACCAATAACGTCCCTGGAACATTAATGGTGTGGTTCAARGTGATAGAYGGCACAGGGAGTGATGGRGAACAGACATATTGTCCCCATCGTAGTCCTTCCACTGTAGACACTGGTCTAGGAAYGTCTGTACAAATGAAACAATTCCATTAAGAAATGACAAAGTGAATCTAACAGTTATACCAMTGGCAAACAAATGTAGACATTGGTTGCAGACTTCACACACCTRCAAATGTTTCRACTGTTCCTGTCGAGCTGTTTTCAGATGAGAAGGACTGGTGAAAACGATTTTTAAATGTTGCTGTTGATGATATTGTATCGCCGTCATTCTTGGAAGTTGCACCAAGTGATGTTGTGGAACTTGACTCTGATGATGTGGCAAGRTTTTTGTGGGTGACTCGTGGGCTGTGAGGCAATGGGAACAGCTGTCTTGGCGTTTGACCATATGTCTCAATCATAGTTTTCAAAGCCTTCTGGCGGATTGGATCRGTGATGGAGTTCACTTCTACACCATAGTATGTCTACAGATAAACAACATTAACAGTAGGGATAGCTGCATTAACGCSGGGACTGAAATAACTGCCACAGAAAYGGCAGCAGCAATACTKAGACATCAATGGCAACAGGTGTGATCCAAAAGGCAAGAGGAGCAGCAAAGCTAACTATTGCTGMAGTAACTGTGGAGACAACACAARCAGCTACAACAATAACAGCAACAAGAGCAGCGTGAYATAGTGACAGCAGAAAGTGTCAATTGCTAATGCAGCAGCAACAGTAACAGCATCATGTACTTTGGCTTACATCATCAACAACAATACACCAATTAACGATATCATGTACAAACTAACCGCTGGATGAAACACGTTGATTGCTTCTATTGCTTCAGGTCCAGTTTGCTTGTAACCAAAAACAAGGTCGATCCACTTGTGTAGGTAACGAGTGACATGTTCTGTCTCTAGAGCCTGAAAACCACAAGTAAATGAAATAAGCAACGGACTGGATGATGGGAAGTAGTCATTGTTTAAATCATCCCGCAGTCCAAACATTTCAGTGACAAAAAACAACGAAACAGGTTCACAAACCTGTCTGTGAACGAGGATAAACAAACGAGCGTTGCCTTTAGCCCATGGGGGTAACGTTACATCCATCACTCGATCGCCGCATTGACGGAGACCAAAATCAAAACCTGTAAAGCGTGTAAAAAAATGCAATCAGCCAAAAATACCGATCCAGAATTCTCTATCACTATAACGATAAATTAACGATAAACATACCTTCAATATTCTCGAGGAACTCGGGAAGAAAAAAGAATTCGGGAATGAGTTCTTTAACATCGGTTGACGATTCATACGACGATAAACGCCACGTGGTCGCCATGGAATGGAACGTTCGATCGGGAATATCGAAACTACGATCTAAAAAAACGAAACACGTGAAACACATAGAAAGAGTGCCGAAAAACGAGATGTGGATGTATGACATGCATAGCTGTCTATAATAAGGCAGGTTAACGAGCACGCTTTTCGATTTATACTGCGTAAAATCAAAGTAAGCCACACGGAAAGCAAACTCAATTGACGGGGAAGAAAAAACGGAGAAAAACGCATGGGGGGCGAGAGAACACGTGGAACCTTAAGAAATCACGCGCGCAGCGTTTTTTAGTTTTATCCCCTTAAAGACAAAGACCATCAGTCCTTCATAGTCTCGTACCTTGATACTGTAAAAACATCTTGGTGAAGGGAGGCAGACGAACAAGAAAGTGCAACACTGTTCCACTGTTTGAATAATGAGAACCATAATGGTAGGGCGCTGACATAGGATCGCCTTGACCACTRCGATCGAACTCTTCTTTTAGCCACTATGGAAAACACAGAGAAACGATCGAAATGATAAAAACAAAGGAAAATAATTAAAGAAATTGACAGAAGCAGGGAAACAACAATCAATGAAAATAAAAACAGAAATAAAAGCGAATGAAAAATAGATACCGAAAAAAGACGATGATTTTGACTTCTGCGGGGGTGAGGGTGGGGACGATACTACTTACCCGGAATCTTTCTCGATAGTTCATCTCTTTTTTGTAGTTTTGTGCTGCGATAGGTTTCGAAAGATCTCTGAAACCATTAAGTTATACCATAATTAATTGCTTTGATTTCATTTGCAATAGAAAGGMAAAGTTGACCATCCAATACCTAAARACGCTGGTATCGTTGAGGTCCAGYACTTCACTKGARAAGTCGGCCAAAATGAAAGGGAAGACTGGRTACTGCATGAGATCGTTGAAYGTTCGTCCAGMCACTTTATTCAACTCCGTCAAATACTCGAAATTTGWTAGGTTCCCCGTGCGCCACCTATCAATCAAAAAAGCCATTGAAATRTCGTGTGAACAATGTTTYAAAAGACAAATTTATGTAAAACGTTAAAAATTGTAAACGATGATGAACCCAACGTTACGGTAAAGAAGTACTTACAGCATGGTGGTGTTATGGATGTTTTCCTTGGCTGGTGTCTCGTAAATAGGTAGCATTCGCTGCTTAAACTGATCCAAAATAATGTCGCGGTCCTTCAAGACGTAAGTAACAGTTACAATTTACTGCATGTCCTTAAGTCACTTGTTATGGATGGATGTACTTACGCTTTCCGTATCAAATGCCAGGAAATATGTCCTTCCATTAGTGAGGAACACTTCCACTCCGATTTCCTGGAAARGGATACAAATAGGAATTGATGAATGTCAAACTACAATCTTGGACATAAATGTTGACAATTTTACGTGCGTACGATATTCTTCATACTATTCGTCGATAAAACCTTCCTCGTGTGTCGACTGAACCAGTTCTCAACTTACCTGAAGACAGTACCTTCTTGTTCGTATTTCTTGTATTTCTTTGATAAGCCACGATATGGAAATAGCGTCTTTGTTACCTAGTAAAATCTATTCAAATGAAAGAAGGTTATSAGATGCGAGATGAAGGTAGGATGACCTATGAACTATGGGATACCTGTGTCACGTCTGTATCTGCTGTGGTTGCCTCCTCACCAATGAAATACATGTGACTTTCTCCTGGAAAGTAAAGAGTCAGTTGAATATCGGGATCATTGGTATACACCTAACAACAACAGGCAACAACAACAACAGCAATAACAACAGCAACAACAACAGCTACAACAACAACAGCAACAACAAGGTAAATGAAAGCAGTCAGAGTCATCAACCAATCAGCAATCAAATCAAATAACACGTTGGATTCCCTGTCTTGGAGTTACGTACCAATCAGAATGACGCCATTTGTCTTGACGTCAAGTAAAATGTGTCGACAATGATACAGAAATCTAAACAAAAKAAAACCRTTAGATACAGACAACAAACCGACTAACGTGACTTGTATTGCGTGACGTACCGTATCGTGTCAGGAGTGTCAAAGATATAGTACACGTTTTTTCGGTGACTGCTAGTACAGTCTTCGAACAAATAGGCCAGCGGTGAAATACACTTTACTGTACCTATAGCAACATCCATCAAGCCATCAATCAATTCATATTTTATACGATAAATAGTCCCAAACTCACCATTCTTTCTGTATCCCTGCATGACATGCTTGGCGGGAACGTCCAGATGAAACCGCTGCATTCGACAACGCACTCGCAGAGGACCTTCAGTTGGATCCAGTCTCCAGGATTTTGGGAAAAAGTCGCTGTCGTACCATATGGACCTGATCGAAGAAATGTTTATGGTCATAAATAATATAATAATATTTGCAAAAATTCGGTCACAAGGATGGGAGGGGTGGGAGACAGAATCTTGCCAAAAATGAACCTTTAGAAAGGTCGAGTGCACAAGCATTTTTAAACAAAGATGTTTTTTTTAGAGGAGGGGTGAGTTCAAGGTGGTTTTTTGGTTGTATAGTAAGTACAGTGAAAACGATGTTTTCTCACCGTTCGTGAATTAATCTTTCAATAAGTTGTCGCCATTTCTTTCTGACTTGTACTTCAGCCGACAAGGCATCTCTGTTATGTTTTAGTAATGTCTGTCTTTGCGAGTCTTGGATCTCGACTGCTACTCGTGTTACGTCCATGGCTGACCTCGACAATTGCCCACTAAGAACTTCGATTCTTTGTGATATTCTGCAAGTAATGTGAGATTATCAATTATCAATAAGGTGGTGAAATTATGCAATGTATGAAGACTTGAATCATTTTATTTTTTATTATTTAAACATGCTTTGGTGGTCTAGAGCACGCTGTAAAGTTACGAACGCACTTAAGAAGTGATAGGAGAAGAAGCGGAAAGTAGTTTGGATGTCAGTCTCCATTTTTACGATGCTGTTTTTGCTGTCCTTCACTCACCAACAGAACACAGATCTCAGCCAATCAGACAGCGCGCGCGCAGTATTTTAACTATACTATAAACATAAATGGTGTTTTATGTGAAGAAGTGAACCATGAATGACTTACACTTTGAAGGCTTCAAGTCGTTTCTTGTGCCACTCCACAATGTTTGTAGTGTCAGTTTGATCCCAGACTTGGACCTTAAAACACAATAAACTAATTAACTTTCTATCATAACRTACYCAACAAAAGATCGCASTACCTCCATTTCAGACTTCGAAGYGACTTCTTCAACAGTAGAAAACTTYAAACCACAAGACTCAAGTAAAGATTTGAAGTTCATKGYAGTATYAGTTTGACTTGCGGTRAGGTTGTTATCACTCAACATYATTGGTAAGTAAACAAGCAGCTTGTCCCGAATCTAAAGATAGAGAAACACTCATTATAAATATAAACAAGTGACATCACAAAACTAAATGACGTAACCTGATGTTAAATTAACGTAATGACGCTATATAATGACGTAACGATGACGCAGTTCATCACATGACCTTACCTTTCCTCCTCCGTTTCCCGACAGTAGATATTGTAGAAGTCTTTTGGCCTGCGGATGATT